GCGGTGTGCAAGACCAGGATAATATGATCCTATACGAAAGAAAAAGTTCATAGAGAACTTTATTATGTGCCCAAACTTTATAACGCTACGAAATCGGTCCTAGTGTCTTTAATTAATGAAGCTGAATATATGTATAGCCCTAACTTCTGATATGTGGACGTCGGTTTCAGGAAAGCCATTTATCTCGCTCACAGTACCTCACCAGCAACAGCTCACAATTTTTTTAAATTTCTCAATGATATAAAATCCTATATTTTAGGCATTTCTTTGGAGGATAGACGAATAATCTATTCGAAAAAAAAAATGGTTATTTAGGATTTTTAATCTGCACTGAGAGTATTCAATGCACGTATAATATTTATGTTGAAAACAAACAATTACTAAAATACATTTACAAAGGGGGCTATAAAAATAACCCAACAACTCGACAATTCGAAGCGTCTTACAAAAGATTATTAATACCTATATTAGGGTTCCAGAAACTGGAAACGCTATAAATTTAGAGGATATATCAATATTAACTTGCGGGAGCAGTAGAATATTAAAATCAGACGAAATAAATTTGAAAGAAAGTGCTTACAAAAAATATAACACAAGATATTGATGCTAATTATTTAAATTGGACTTAGTGGAATTTAACGTTGTATATCGCCGATGTGGTAAGTTACATTGCGGAATTATCCCAATCATCCCAAGCTGACATTTAATTATGATTTTTAAGCGCGCATAGATTAGCTTAAATTGTTATTTGCAGTTATTATTACTTTGTAGCTACATGTGGGCTGCCCTTTAATATTGTAATGAAGAAAGGGTTCAAAACTATGATGCGGTGTGCAAGACCAGGATAATATGAGCCTATAGGAAAGAAAAAGTTCGTAGAGAACTATGTGCCCAAACTTTATAACGCTACGAAATCGGTCCTAGTGTCTTTAATTAATGAAGCTGAATATATGTATAGCTCCATCTTCTGATATGTAGACGTCGGTTTCAGGAGAGCCATGCTCACTGTACATTTTATTGGAGGGTAATGGAGTCTACGTTATGATGTCCTAAACTCTAACGCCTTCGATGTTCACCATACAGCCAGCAACATAAAGGAAGGAAAAATCGGAGAAAAGTAATCTCGATCGAAGCTAAGTCGACCTTTTTAACGTTCCTAATGTATGGGACGTCAAATGGTACATAGGACATACTACACAGACAGGAATTGATGACGTCAAGATCTCAAAGGTCATGAATTCTAAAATTCATCAGCCACTGCAAAATTCTTATTACATTTTAATAACTTATTTGATATATATAATTCGAGGACTTTCGCCAAGTATTTTTTTAAACGGCCACTCTCACCAGCAACAGCTCACAATTTTTTTAAATTTCTCAATGATATAAAATCCTATATTTTAGGCATTTCTTTGGAGGATAGACGAATAATCTATTCGAAAAACAAACTGGTTATTTAGGATTTTTAATTTGCACTGAAAGTATTCAATGCACGTATAATGTTTATGTTGAAAACAAACAATTACTAAAATACATTTTAACATATAAGCTTTCACAAAACCAATTCGAAGCAAAGGGGGCTATAAAAATAACCCAACAACTCGACAATTCGAAGTGTCTTACACAAGATTATTAATACCTATATTAGGGCTCCAGAAACTGGAGACGCTGTAAATTTAGAGGATTTATTAATATTAACTTGCGGGAGCAGTAGAATATTAAAATCAGATGAAATAAATTTGAAAGAAAGTGCTTTCAAAAAATATAACACAAGATATTGATGCTAATTATTTAAATCGGAATTTAACGTTATATATCGCCGATGTGATAAGTTACATTAAGGGATTTGTAGGAAGAAGTTTACATAAATCTGCCCATTGTCTTAAGCGTCTATTTTTATTAGAAGAAGATACAACAGATTCTCGCCTTCAAATTAGAAAAACATACAAATACTGTCAATTTTTGAAACAAAACTATTAAATAAAATTTAAAAAAAATATTACCTATTATCCCAAGCCATGCCGTCTATATTTAAGCTGACGCTAATATTTATCAATATTAACTTGCGGGGGCAGTAGAATATTAAAATCAGACGAAATAAATTTGAAAGAAAGTACTTACAAAAATATAACACAAGATATGGATGCTAATTATTTAAATTGGACTTCGTGGAATTTAACGTTGTATATCGCCGATATGGTAAGTTACATTAAGGGATTTGTAGGAAGAAGTTTATATAAATCTGTCCATTGTCCTAAGCGTCTATTTTTATTAGAAGAAGATACAACAGATTCTCGCCTTCAAATTAGAAAAACATACATATACTTTCAATTGTTGAAATAAAACTATTAAATAAATTTTTTAAAAAATATTACCTATTATCCCAAGCCCTGCCGTTTATATTAAGCTGACGTTAATATTTATCAATATTAACTTACGGGGGAGTAGAATATTATAATCAGACGATATAAATTTGGCAGTGTAGGAGCCGGCGGTCAATCATAAAATATATTTTACTAATTGGCGAAATTCGGCCACCAATAGATGGCGCTAGGATTTTCCAATAAGGTGTCTGTAACGGTGAACAACAAAATCTTTTCATATTTACAAGACGATTGTCAGTATATTCAACTATATGTTCTTTGATTTTGTTCATAAAAGTTCGTGTAATTTTGTATTTACAAGGTCTGTTACAAGTTGTTAGTACTTTAGATCGTTGTATTAGACTGAGTTTGTAGTGTTGTGATATTTCTGGAAAAAATGCCGAAAATAGAGGTTACTCTATCGGATATTATTGAATACATAGGGAACCGGAGCAGACCACTTAAAGAAGGCGAAGCTCTCTTGAAAGCTGGTCATGTAATATTATGTGGATTAGAGGGATCAAATTCAAAAATGATTAAAAGCTTGTGTTTACAAACCTCTGACCTGACTACTCGACCTCATGAAATAACAATTACATTGAATTGTGATGTAAAACAATGGAGTTGTAGTTGTTCTTGCAAGGCAGGGATGTCAGGTTTCTGCAAACACATTATAGCCACTCTAATTTATGTTAATAGGTGAGTGAACTTCAGTATATTACACACTATTGTAATTTATTTGCCATTTTTATATGATATCTTAAGTCCATTTTATCCAGCTTATGAAGTCTTTTTGTCTGTAGAAATGAGGATTTAGAAGTGGTAAGCTGTACAGATTTGGAGCAAAAATGGGGAAAGGAAAAGAAGGGTGTCCAAGAAACCTATAAGCCTGAGCCATTCAAAGAATTTTGTCACCCAGTGGTGAAGAATAAATACGTCTTTTCTTCATCCTCAGAGGTGGATAGGGAAAATTTTGCTCTTCTTAGCACAGGTATTAATTTATTTTGTTAGGTTGTTATAACTAATTCCCTAGATAATAATTTAATTTAACTATTCTTTTTGGGAAATTAAAAATAATTATAATAGTAAAATAGAATTATGTGTTATATGTAAATAATTATTTATTTAATATTAGCAGATTAGGTACAAAGTTCGGTTTTACATCCAAAAGTGTTCTGGCAGTAAGTTTGACTTCACAATTGAAAGCAGAGTTGAAAGTGCTCTGCTAGGATTGAATAAATTTTCTGCATATTGAAAATGTTTTAGTGTATTGTTTTTGTGTTACTTGATTTTAATATATTTTTCTGAAATTTTTAGGTGTACCAGATTCGGCACTCACCAGATTTCTAGGTCGGTCAACAAACCCTTCTACAACTTTGGCTCTTCATAGGTAAACATTTTTTTTAAACATGTTTCTATAATTATTGTTTTAATAACTTTTATATTTTAGCCATTTTGTTACACTAGTGAAAGTTGCTCTTGCACATGCGGAAAATTCCAAGTGGTTAAAACATTTAAAGAATCAAATTGAAATAAGTACATACAACTTACAGGATTGTTGTCAAGAAATTGTAAATGTATTATCGTCATGCAATGTAATAGAGGTGGCAACAAAATACGAGCAAGGTTCCAGTTCTTGGTCAGAAGAAAGAAAATTAAGAATTACAGGTATGTAAATAAAATAATATGTATTGTCTATTTTCTATCGGTTTAATTTTTGTCAGGCTCAACATGCTACTCAATTTTTACTTTTAAAAGGAAGATGAATGGGAGAATAAAGCCAAAAAGTTATTTTTTCCCAAACATTTTACGAATAAATTTGTTGAACATGGAAGAAGATATGAGAAAGAAGCCTTGGAGGCTTTTAAAAAAGAATGTGAGGATGAAATCGTAACTCCTGGATTAGTAGTTTCAACAACATTTCCATGGCTGGGATTTTCTCCTGATGGTGTTGTTTTTGAGAATGATACCCCCACGACATTACTCGAAATAAAGTGCCCATTTATTGGTAATTCTTATCAATTCTTATTTTGTTGGATTAATTCCTAATAACTCTTAACTTATTATTTTAGGAAAAGATAATCCACCTGAGAAATTTTCGGAATGTGATTTCGTAACTAAAATTGGAACGGAAATGAAGCTGAAAGAGGCACATTCTTATTATGGCCAGGTTCAATTGGGGATGGCTCTTTTGGGTTTAAGAAATACAAAATTAATTTTGTATTCGAGTTTTTCAAAATCATTCATAAAAATTAATGTTAATTTTAATGAAACTTTTGCAGAGTTATTGATTAAAAGAATCACAGAAAATTATTTTAGGCATATGTTGCATTATTATTGTTTAAATAAATGATATCTTAAAAATTATGTGTTTATTTATGGGTATACATTCTATATTAAAAAAATAATAATTACTATGTACCAAAATTTTCATGCTTAAATAATAGAAATTCAGTTATATTAAAATGCAAACTAATAAAGAAAATTATTTTAGGTATATATGTTGCGTTATTATTGTTTAAATAAATATCTTATAAATGATGTGTTTATCTAAGGGTGTACATTCTATAAACTAAAAAAATACAACAAAATTTTCATACTTAAATAATAGAAATTCAGTAACATATAAAATACAGCTTAAGTCATTCACGAATTTTATTGTCTGCTAGTATCGGTGTTGATAAATTTACAACTGATGCGATTACAGTCATTATATCATCCACATATGGTAATAAATACCAATTAAACTGTTCGCTCAAGATTTTAAACACTTTTATTCTTTGTATAGCCCTTTCTACATGCACTCGGGCACGAGCAATATCAGCTGTAGCCTCAGCATCTTCTTTTGAAAACTGCTTCTGTTTCCTTAGAAAAGGTGGCCTAATTAATTTCACCAATTTTTCCTCGCATTCCTTTTGAATTAAAATACCCTTGTCAACCATAACTGCATCATACATATCAATTTTATCAATAACGTTTTCATAATTAAAAATTGCTTTATCTGTAGTGCGACCACCATATCCAGCACTGATAAAGGATATTAATCCCGATGGGGTTATTCCTATTAGATACTTGATAGTATGTGTTCCCTTGTAATGGGAGTACGTCCTGACTCTACATTTTAAACATTTCAGTTTTTGAATTTTCAGCTCTGTACAGTCAAGGACAACTCGGGTATCTCTATATTTGTCGAAACACTTTGGCATATTACTTAAGATCTCCTCCTTACTTGGCCAATATATACCCGGTTTTAAGCTGACGGCCAGGAGACTTATAGTGGAGTAGAACATATTCCTACACATACTTTTACTTACTTTAAATAAAGTAGCCAAACATACAAATGAAATATTCATTTTCAATTTGCAGAGACACAAAATTAGTCTTGTCCTGATGTCTTTCCAGAGGCACTTGTTAAAAGTAGCTGTTTTCTCAGTACATTTTGTAATTGTATTTAATATATCAAAATTAATCCCAGTAAAATTAATCAATTTCTCATCTGTATTTAAAATTTGAGGCAATTCAAAAAAGTCACTGAAATTTGTTTCTGTTGAGGCATCTTTATAAAATATAAGTGAATGTTGAGCTTCATACGTGCTAGCACTAATTAAGGTTTTTGGTTCATCAACAGTTCTAGCAAGTTGAGTAGCATGTTCTTTTGCTTCACTGACACATTGAGCATCAACTTCTAGCGAAATTTCATGCTCTTCTACTTCTACATTTTCATCAACATTTAATGTGCATTTTTGTAGCCAATGTCGCTCCGATCTGGACTTTATTTTCTTTTTTAATGAATGGCTCGTCTTTGGGATTTTTTGACTAGGAAGTACTAGTTTCTCTAACCGACGTCGCTTATTTGTTGCTAAAAGTAGAGTAAAGATATTATTTAAAACCAAACATGTCGATTACACATTCCATATCTTACCTATAGTGAAATCATTTTCTGTAAAATGAAGGCTACAAACTAACATATATTTTGTTATCGGCTTTCCAATTTTCAATATGTTTTGCCAGATTTTACATAGCTTAGGATCTTGAGGAAAAGCATGCAATGAAACATCTGCTGTACAATATGATGAACATTGAGGCACTGAACATATTTTTCTAGATTTGGTGTCTACTGTTTTATGAACAGACTGCATTTTCCTTCAAAATTTATACCAAACTATACAAAACTAAAATAATTTCTAGTAAGTACATACTAATGGTAAGCGATCTTTCAGCACTTGAAAGATCGCTTACCAAAACAACTAAATTTAAATGCAGAAAAGTTTTAAAAATCCTCAAAAGAAATTTCTTGGCTAACCTCATATAATTTGTAACACCGATTCCGAGGATTCAAATGTACATACGGGGCAGAATCTTTATTTATATCTTAAAATTCACTCCAAACATTAATATTTAAAACAAATTGTATGTAAAAACTGCTTATTTACACTGATTTGAACAAAAAATAAAATTAACTTAAAAAACCTACACGACAAATAATACTAATTTTTGTTTGTTGTTCACCTCTATACTAGTATTCAAATTTGACAGTAGGTGTCGCCCACTTTGTGAATTTTACCAATAAAACGATGCTAATATTTCTTTGTTTCTATTTTTCCCAAAATACATAAACTAAAATTGTCTAACACAAAACTTAAACTTCTCGATTCACCCGTGACGAACGAATGAATGAATGACGTATATTACGGACTACCACAGATCTAACTCAGATGAGACCACAGATTAACTAAATACTAATTCATATATATGATCTTCATCCTTGTTTGAAGGCAACCACGCGGCATATCGGCGCGCAATTTAAATGTTGGCGGCTAATTCAAATTATGTTACTACAGAAGAAAGTGCTTACAAAAAATATAACACAAGATATTGATGCTAAATATTTAAATTGGACTTCGTGGAATTTAACATTGTATATCGCCGATGTGGTAAGTTATATTAAGAGATTTGTAGGAAGAAGTTTATATAAATCTATCCATTGTCCTAAGCGTCTGTTTTTATTAGAAGAAGATACAACAGATTCGCGCCTTAAAATTAGAAAAAAAATACATCCACTTTCAATTTTGGAAATAAAACTATTAAATACATTTTTTTAAAAATATTACCTATTATCCCAAGCTGACGTTTAGTGTTATTATTTTTAAGCACGCATAGATTGACTTAAATTATGTATATGTATTTATTGGTATTCAATGCTTAACTCCACTTCTCAGCTGCCTACTTTATAGTTACATGTGGGCTGCCCTTTATTATTGTAATGAAGAAAAGGTTCAAAATTATGATGCGGTGTGCAAGACCAGGATATGAGCCTATAGGGAACAAAAAGTTCGTGGAGAACTATATGCCCAAACTTTATAACTCTACGAAATCAGTCCTAGAGTCTTTAATTAATGAAATTGAATATATAGCCCTAACTTCTGATATGTGGACGTCGGTTTCAGGGGAGCCATTTGTCTCGCTCATTGTAAATTTTATTGAAGGACAATGGAGTCTACGTCATGGTGTCCTAAACTGTAATGCCTTCGATTTCCACCATACAGCCAGCAACATAAAGGGGGCATAAATCGGAAAAAAGTAACCTCGATCGAAGTTAAGTTGACCTTTTTGACGTCCCTAACGTAAGGTGCATAGTACATACTATACAGGCAGGAATGGATAACGTTAAAAAACTTGAAAAAATTAAAGAGGTGACCCTAAAAATTCATATCTTCCAACCTCACTTGACCACCAATAAAGTTTTTAGTGCATACAAAAAATATATACAGGAAAGGCACCAAATTACCGCCAAAGTATTGCCAGGGCTTAGTCCTATTCGTTGGTGGAGCGAGTTACCACTAAGCCATGCTGTTATAATTGAATACGAAGTAAACATTCGAGAATTTCTTGCAGTCCATGAAAATGGCAACAACATAGGACTGCTTTTTACAGAAAATAAAATAAAATGTTTAAAGTCATACACCGCAACTCTAAACCTCTTATACGAACAAGGAATGGCATAGGAAACTCATATGTCTGCCAGTACTATACTCCCAGTGGTTTATTTACTTACTGACGACATGTGGCAGCAAACTCAGGCAGAACATGGATTTATACCGAAAAGTGAAGATGCTACTCCATATGGCCTGACTGAGCATGGCGACTGGAGTAATACAGAGAACGCTAATAAATTACCAGATGTGAAGCTTGTGCTTGATGCTGAAATTCTGAGGTGCATAGTGGAAAAACTTCATAAGTGATTACCGCCGATGTTACAGATAGCGCTGCGATAGCTCAAAGCTCAACAGTGGCGACCAACTGACCAGAGAAGTGCGACGAAGTGTCATACTTTTCTTTTGAAATGCTCTTTTTTGGATCCCTATTTTAAGGCAGAGTTAGATATGCTACAACAAGAAGGTTGTTACGGTTTAAAATTTCACCGTAACTTATTTTACTTATTTTGCTTATTTTTAGGAATAAAACTACAACTTACTTGAATAACGTGAATAATTTCTTGGGATGGAGTTGTCTCCGATAACTAATATAAAACCTCATTAATAAAATATCAATTTGTCTGTTTAAAACCTACCTTTCTTTCTACCGTGGTTACTAATTCTTTATTTAGACTTATGCTTGTGTTAGGATATTTTCTTGGCATATTTCTTCGGAAGATTCTTGAACATAGACTTGATGTGATTATCTTTTGTCTGTTTCAACGCAACAAGTGGGAATGTTGGGTCTACAATATACATATGGGTTAAGGATTTTATTATGTATTTTTCCTGTGTGTAATCAATTGGTTTTACCTGATTATAGTTGATTTTTCCCTAAATTTCATCTTGTTTATATTACGATTTACAGACTGACGTTTCAATTGTTGTCAGCTGATCGTGTGACACCGTCGTTGAAGTTTGACAGATGGATCTTTGTAAATTAGGTTTTCGATCTTTTTAAACGGTTTTTATATATGATCGGAAAATGTATTAATGATTTTCCGAAGATATTATGTTCGTATAGGAATTATTATAATTTTATTATGATGTAATAAAATGTTTCACTCAATCCGTATGCATTAAATAAAATTGTATGTCAAATTTTATTTTGGGTCTTTTATTTTACTGGTTGCCAGTGTTGGATTCTGGGTTGGTATCTTGGAGTCCAGCGTCTTTTGCGGATTTTGCAAACACGGGTCCTTTTTCGACTTTGAACCATCTTGGTGAAAGCAGGGGAAGCCTTCTGATCTCTGCCGAAAATAAAAGAAAGAAATTCTAGTGAAATTTTGGCTGGTCGCCGTTCCATATATATTGGGATTGTTCAGTAGAATTACGGTCTTGGAATTCATTGAGGGTCGAGAAGACCGATTGGCAAGAAATTGAGCTTGGCCTGTGTAGTTGGAATTCCGTTGAAAACCTTGAAAAGGGGTATCTTTGTTGGTTGGGTAAGAGACATTCTTAGGTGTAAGGTTCTCTTCTACAACTATTTATTTTAGAGGACAGTAGCTGTAGATGTGTGCGTGGACGTACTGGGATGAGTACGAGGACAGTTAAGGAACCCTTTTCCATGGAGTAACATGCGTTGAGACGCCATCTTGTCTTGGAAGGTCCGCATGGTGGAAAGGTATTTTACTATGTCCAAACTAGAACGTGTCACTAAAATAGATCACATTTTAGGGTTCTTGTTCCTTGGTTATTACTCCTTAGTGATGATTACAGTTTAGCTTAAGATTTTATCATTTTTTTGTACTGGATTTGGTACTGCAACTAATGCCATTGTGACGTGAATGCCACTGTGATGAGGAATACCACTGGGATACTGAAGACCAGACACCTGTATTTTCTCATGGACTGACTGGAACGACCACTGGATGACAGATAAGACTTTAATCATCTCTTATTTTATTGCGTTTATGATTGATTAAAATTTATTACATTAAATATACGATCGTATGTGAACTTCGTATACCAGGGGATTTTACCTCTAAATTTCATTTTATTCTTTACAGTCATTTAATCATAATCACAAATACGCATCAGGGTTGTTCACAGTTTAGTCACAACAATATTTTGTGATACTATTCATGATTTAATTTATTTTACGGATAGTTCATTTTACTAGTATATATATATATATATATATATATATATATATATATATATATATATATATATATATATATATATATATATATATGTTATATAGGTTTTCCATCGACCTTTACACCTTTGCCGGTCAAGCACACCGATGGCCACATCCTGCCAATCGCCGCATCAGCGATATTGCGCCATCCGCAGTGGAAATCGCCGTAGCTGCGATCACACGGTGTCAGCAAATCAATTCTTTATTTAAGCCAATGTATTGTAATAGAAAAACACTTATAATTTTGCATTTAATAAAGCACGTTATAATGTCCGTTTAATTTTTGATTTTTAAATAATAATTTTAATAAAAAAAATAAATAATAAAATAATTAAAATAATAAAATAATTTACAATTAAAAAATAATTTTTTAAAAAGTGAAATCCTCCAGAAGCATCATAACAAATTGGCGCAGTCGTGTGTAGGATTCGTAAAACGCTGGAACAAGAAAACAGCGGCGGATTCCAATCCCTTAACGAAAAAAGAACCGGAGAACCCAACTCGAAGTACTAAGGATTAGGAACACCTGGTGAAGCCCCTGTTAGTCACGACGAGAACACGGCAATCCATGGAAATAATATTAATGTAAGTACAAGAATTTGTCACGTACATTTTTTTTGAAATCTCTAAAATAAATCTATTTATTTTTCGAAACTGTTCGATATTTCAATATATTCTTTATAATACAGTATAAAATAAAAATAAATACAAATAATAATTTTGATTTAGTTATAAGAAAATATTTTTATTTAAATATTAAGTATACTTTCTTTTTGAAAATAAAATAGTTGTGTATATTTTCGAGTACATTTTATAAAAAAAAAAAAAAATCAGTAAACATTTAAGAAACTAAATAATTTTATTTAAATTATTAAATAAAATATAATATTTATTAAAGAAAAATCTATCTAATATTATTATCATCTTAAATTAAAAATAAACAATCTTCTTTTCATATAATTTTTTCTTTAAATCAAATACATTTTATTTTAATAATTTTTATTTCTATTTTATTTACTGTCAAATTACATTTTTCAATCTTTACTAAATAATGGCAACAGCTCAAGGTACAACCATTGAATTGGAAGCTTATAAACTTTCCGAAATTTTTTCAATCGTCCCTGAATACGAAGGCGACCAAATATGTTTAGGCAATTTTTTAAATGCGTGTGATTGCGCATATGATATGGCAACCGAACAACAGAGAGTTTTTCTAATAATACATATCAAAAACAAACTTAGAGGTAGAGCTGCTCAATTAATCAATTCGCGAAATCCAGCTAGTTATTCCGAAATTAAACAACTACTTTCACTACATTTTGGAGATTCCCGTGACCTATCCTCTCTTATCCAAGATTTACAAAGACTAAAACAGTTATCAGGAGGATCACCATTAACTTTCTTTAATAGATTACAAGTATTAAATGCAAAAATGCATTCTTATGTTCAAAAATCTTATTTAACTAGAGATCAAAAAATGGCTCAAACCGATCTAATAGATAGTATGTCTTTAAACACTCTTCTTACTGGTTTAGAACCACGTCTAGGCCAACTAATTAGGGCAAGTAACCCTAATTCTTTGGTAGAGGCACAAAATAAAATTCGTAGAGAACTACAATTGTCATATTTAGAAAATCAAAAAACAAGTAAATCTAACATTCCTATTCTAAAACCTATCCGAACACCCTCTTTACCTCCTAAATGCTCAAACTGTAATCGTATTGGTCATTTAAGTAATCAGTGTAGACAAAATATTAATCGATCAAATTTTTCTCAAAATTCTAACCCTAATTTTTCTAGACCACATTTACCTAATAATAATAATTATAATAACAACTCTAATTCTAATAATAATTCCTCTCATTTTAATAATAATAATAATTCTCATTCAGCAAGCAAACCTAATACTTTTCAACAAAGTCAACAAAGAACTTTTAATGGACAAAATCAAAATCAATCTTCAAGACCTACATTTCAAAGAAATTTTAATCAACCCCAACAAAGAGCTCATCATGTAAATTTTGATAACAATTTTAATAATAACTATTCTTATGAAGAATATCCTAACTATGATCTAAACGATAATGGTAATTTTCAAGAAAATGACTATTACGATGAATATTCCTATGACACCCCTAATCCCGATAACTATTCGGATTTTCTCGATCTTACAACCAAAGACCAACCACCCGACACCCTAATACAAGACCCCACATCCGAAATTCAGACGCAGATACAAGCGCTGAATCTCGAAGATATGAATCCAAACCTGAACTTCCCAGAACAGAAGTTACTCTAAACCCTCTCCTAACAGTAAACTCCAAAAATTTATACTATATTAATGACTGTTCAAATCAATATAAATTACTTATAGACACAGGTGCTGGAATTTCTATCTTTAAAGAAAATATAGCTAAAAATTATCGCAATAGACGTCCCGAAAACATTACGATTCAAGGTATAACAGATCAAAAACTTTCAATAAATACTTCTACTCTTATTCCCTTTTCTTCTGGAGATTCCCATAGAGTTTATATTTATAATCTTGACATTGAATTTGACGGAATTTTAGGCTTAGATTTCTTAGAACACTATGATTGTGTAATAGACCTAAAATCAAAAGAACTTATAACTAATTTTAAAACCATACCATTACACAAAGTTACAGAAAACATTTCTACACTGAGAGAAAATAATGTCATTCTCGATAAACCACCTTTTAATAAATCTCTTAATAAAAATCAAATATCTATAGATGGTAGAACTGAAAAAGTTTTTAAATTATCTTGTAATCTATCTAATACAGATGCTATTTTATGTGCAAAGGAAATAGATAAAGTTAGGCTACCTAATGCTCTAGTTCGAGTAAACGAATTTGGCGAATTTTACACTTCCATTATCAATGCAAATGTTATCAATAAAACTATCGATTTCTCAACTTTCACTATCGAACCTTTTGACACAGAATCTAGTAAAAATAATATAATTCTTAATTTTAATCCTGATCTTAAAAATAATAATTCTTTCGATAGAGAAACAAATATTAAAAATCAATTAAGAACAGACCATCTAAATTTTGAAGAAAAAGAAATGATTACTGAACTTTGTCTTGATTTTTCTGACATTTTTTATCTCGAAGGTGACAAACTAACCTTTACTAACGAAGTGAAACACTCGATAGACACTAATAACGCTAAACCTGTTTTCACAAGATCCTATAGATACCCTCAAATTCATAAAGAGGAAGTTAAATCACAGATAAATAAAATGTTAGATCAAAAAATTATTCGTCCCTCAATTTCACCCTGGTCATCCCCTGTTTGGGTTGTCCCGAAAAAACTTGATGCGTCAGGTAAACCTAAGTGGCGTATAGTCATCGATTATAGGAAACTAAACGAACTTTCTGTAGACGACAAATATCCTCTTCCAAATATTTCTGACCTCTTGGACCAACTTGGTAATTGTCAATATTTCACTACCCTGGATTTGGCTTCAGGTTTCCACCAAATCGAAATAAACCCCAAAGACATCGAAAAAACAGCTTTCACAGTCGAAAATGGTCATTACGAATTCGTTCGCATGCCATTCGGTTTAAAAAACGCCCCTTCGACATTCCAAAGGGTAATGGATAATATTCTCCTTGGTATCCAGAATGAGCGCTGTTTAGTTTACATGGATGATATTATTGTATATTCTGCAACCATTCATGATCATATTTTAAGATTAACAGAAGTTTTTAAACGTCTTCGCAAAGCTAACCTGAAAATTCAACCCGACAAATGCGAATTCCTAAGAAAGGAAGTTGCTTATTTAGGTCATCTGATCACCGAAGATGGTGTCAAACCCAATCCGTCAAAAGTCGCATGTATTAAAAATTTTCCCACTCCTAAGTGTGCTAAAGACATTAAATCCTTTCTTGGCTTAGCAGGATACTATCGACGATTCATCCCTAATTTCGCTAAAGTTTCCAAACCCTTAACTAAACTTCTTCAGAAAGACATTCCTTTTATTTTCAATTCAGAATGCACATCCGCCTTTAATGAATTAAGAAATGCCCTTATTTCTGACCCTATCTTAATATATCCAAATTTCGACGAAACTTTTATCTTAACCACAGACGCAAGTGCCTTTGCGATCGGAGCTGTCCTCTCACAGGGTCCAATTTCGAAAGATCTCCCTATAGCTTACGCATCTAGAACACTTTGTAGCGCAGAGACGAAATACTCCACCATAGAAAGAGAACTACTCGCAATAGTGTGGGCAGTTAAGCACTTCAGGCCTTATCTCTTTGGCAGAAAATTTACCCTTGTAACAGATCATCGTCCATTAACATGGCTATTTTCCATTAAAGACCCAGGAAGTCGCCTAGCTCGTTGGCGTCTTAAGCTAGAAGAATACGATTATAATATTGTGTACAAACCCGGAAAAATTAATAAAAACGCAGATGCTTTGTCGCGTATAAAAATTAATCATTTTAAAAGTTGTTCTGATCTTCAATCAAACATTTCCGTTTTAGCCCTAGGTAAAGACATTCATAACCGCCCTTCAACTAGTTTTCAAGTACCCGACTCAGATGATGACGAAAATGACGACACTCACCCAATAACTGAAGAATATAATAGATTCGTACATTTATACAGAACTAAGTCAATTATAGATTATTCTAAAATAGAAATTTCTAACTCTCAGTTATTAGACAAATCTAATAAAAATATAGTCACATTTTTCTGGCAGACTAAATTACAAGATTTACATAATAAAATTTTAGACGATTTATTTGAAGAACATGCAGATGTTTCTTCTCATGACATTAATATTCTCAATAGTAAAACAGTTAAAGATCGTAAATATTTTATTATTCCGTTACCTTTAGATAATGAAACAGTAGTTCAACATCTTTTTTATATTCTTCATAAAGGAAAAAATAACTTTGATCTTTCACAAACCTACTGTATAGAAAATAATTTAGAGCTACCGATATTAGAACTTTTCTCTTTTATTTTTACTGACGACGACATAAAACTTAAGATATGTCAAAATGTTGTTCAAACTCCAGACCAAGATCAAATTCCTATTATTCTTGATCAGTACCACACTGGAAAAAATAATTTACATCGTGGAATAAATGAAACTATCAAAAGAATAAAAGAAAAGTATAATTGGCATGGTTTAACAAAAGATGTAGAGAAATTAATAAAAAGTTGTGAGATTTGTCAGAAAGTCAAAATCTGTCGTAAAAATCTCAGTACTCCCCTTGTCATTACGGAAACTCCTAAGACCCCGTTCGAAAGAATAAATATAGACATTTTTGAATTTCCTACTCGTAATTATGCTCTAACTATCCGAGACGAACTAACTAAATTTACACAGGCTTACGCAGTTAGTGACAAAAAAGCACATTCCATTGTCAACACACTTTTATTGTTTTTCCAACACTATGGTACCCCCTTACGGATACACTGTGACCACGGTCGAGAATTTGACAATAATTTAATGAAAGATCTTTGTGAATTATTTGATATCAAGCTAACATTTTCCAGTGTTAGTCACCCACAATCCAATGGCTCACTTGAGAGATTTCATGCAACCCTTACTGAAATGATTCGAGTTCATATGGCTGAACATCCAGAAGAACATCCATTTAATATACTACCCTATTCTGTTATTTGCTATAATAATACAAAGAATAAAACACATGGTTTTTCCCCTTACGAGTTAATTTTTGGCCATACATCAAGTAGACCTCCAGAAACACTTTATAATCAAAAAGACTAATCTCTAAGTACATTCGTGATTTAAACAATAGAATGGAACACTATTATAAAGTAGCGAGATCTAGAACTAATCAGAAAAAGGAAAAAGCTAAAATTCGATTCGATAAAACAGTCTCTAAAAATCTTCCAAATTTTGCAATAGGTAATAAAGTATACGTTAAAGAAGCTCAAATAAAAGATAAATCGCATAATAAATTTAATGGTCCTTTCGAAATTTTAGAACTTTATGGAACTTCCGCAAAATTAAAAAATTTAAATTCAAATCAAATTTCAAAAGTAAATTTTGATAGACTAAAACCATTCTACGAATAGTCTATTTTCTTTTCAGATTTCTCTGGCTAATGCCAACAACAATCTCTCAAATCTTCATCACGCCCATAAACAACACCGTTGGAATATTCTTTCACGAAGAAGATACTATCCGAGTATCTAATAATAAGTGGACTCTTTTAGTGTATAAGGAACTCGAACCGATAAAACAATCTATTTCTAATAATGACAAAATTCTTTCTAACTTAATAGACACATTCGATCAATCTAACCCTCGAATGATATCATTTAAACCTACAATACAAACGCACGTTAATCTTTTAACTCAGATCGCTGATTCTGTAAATTTAAAATTTAAAGAAATTACAACAGAAACAAAGAAATACGAATTAAGAGCAAGACGCGGCTTAATCAATGGTATAGGCAGTATTTTTAAATCTATAACAGGCAATTTAGACTCTTCAGATGGAGACTATTACAATGAATGTATTAACAAAATTAATCGCGACGAAAGGGAAATAGAAAATTTATTGAAAAGTCAAATATCTGTTACTACATCAGTTATATCAAATTTTAATTCTACTATTAGAAAGTTGCAGATCGATGAAGAAAGTTTTAATGAAAACATCGCTGAAATTCAAACTTCTATGTCAAATTTATCCGATGATTTTGCATTTTATGAAAGTCAAATAAAAACTCTAGACATATGCCAATCTCTAATGGAAAGTTATGTATTTTTAGAAGATTCTCTTAATGACATTTTGAATGCCATCACATTCGCGCGTTTAAGAATACTACATAGTTCTATAATCACACCTAGAGATCTAGTATTTTCTCTTCAAGATATTTCAAAATCTCTCTAAAAATAATTTACCTTTACCGACATATTCTTCCAACATTGGTCAATACCTTGACATAATAGAATTAGAGGCCTATCAAACAGAAAATAAAATTGTATTTGTTCTTAAAATTCCTCTAATCGAACCTGAAACTTATACTCTTTTTAAAATCTTTCCTATTCCATTATTGGATAATCGAACAGGTATTTACCACATTTGGACCCCGTTATGCAATAAGGAACCAACCGTCAATTTTTGAAAAACCGAGATATTACCACTATACTAATTGGAATATGTTACTTTACCAATTTGCAATAGAGATCCAAATATTTATGATGATATAGCCATCTACGGGCCAATAAAGCCAATTTGCAAAATTAAAAATAATGAAATAAAAGTTTTCTATAAAGATCCAAAACCCATCTGGATCCTTTTTACAGGAATCTGTATTCTATTCGTTGCGCAGGTCTGAACCAGAGTTATTTGGGTCTCTTTTGCGAATTTAACCAAGTGTCTTTATTCAAACGGCGAATGTTGTAACGGGTATTATTGTTTAGTGTTTTTAGCCGGTGTTTATTTACTGCAACATGTTTAAACAAAATATAGTTTCTCAGAGAGTTCAAAAGATATTAAATAATACAAAACTATTGTCACAGTCACCTTTAGCTGAAATAGATCAAAATCAGGTAAGTTTTACGTTTATTTGAATGTTTCTAACCTTAAAGTTTAATTTTTACTAAAGTGAAATAACTTGTTTTTACAATCATATCCGTTTAACAATTTATAATGATTGTTTTAAAAACCTATAGAACAAAAACAATATTATGTACAATGATTTTGATTCCTATTGTGATTTTTTTTTAATATGTAGGTATGTAATTGGTTCCTTATTGCAAATTTATTTTCAGAATAGCATTTTAAAATTAAATAACTTGTTTGTGGCACCAAATAATATGGAGTTGGTTCCGTCAACTAGTAGACTTTCATATGTAGAAGAGAAGCAAAGAGATAAAAGGGAGAACTATACAAACTATAGTGAACCAATAGCAGACATACAATTAGGGCAAAAAAACTATATTATAGTTGCCGAAAAAACTCTGATGACTTTATAAAGATTGATACTTACCAGGCTAATCCTAATGAAGAATGTAATCTGGGTATCAACCAGAGTCTACCAGTGGCAGAAGTTTTGGTCTATCCAGAATTTTCACGTACTCACACAAACCAGGTAGGTTTACTATTCCCAAACTCCTTATTTAATCTCAGTTTTTTTTTAAATGAAAATGTAATTCCTTATTGTAGAAAGAAGATTTCTTTTGAGCCCCCAACTGACATGGAGGCACTTCCTTCAACTAGTACTCCCTTATGTTTAGAAGAGGAACGAGATGTTGAAGGGAAGAATGGTATCAACTATAATGAGCCAAGAGCAGAACTAAGGAAAATGGATAGATGTAATAGAGACTTTGAGGAAGACTCTGATGACTCCATAAGGGATCAAACTTACCAGCCTGATTCCAACGCAGAATCGTCAGAAAAAATGCAGACAGCGAGCCAGAAAATGAGCCTGTTTTTAAAAAAAGCGAGGGACGTCCTGGAAGGGGAAGGAAAAGAAAGTTTCCAGAACAGGATAGACATTTAAGAAAAGTATATACCAATAGTAATAAGCGACATTATACGGCAAAAGGAAACCTTGTACAACCCAAAGAGTTTATTGAATTTAAATGCAAATGTCTTGCGAATTGTCATGAAAAAATTTCGCTAGAGGAGCAGCGGAATTTTTTTCAACAATATTGGAATTTAGCAGACTACAACGTGCAAACCACTTTTCTTTCTACATACATAAGGGAATCATCTGTAAAGAAAAACTTGTGACTGCAAAAATCCTCAAATGCGAAACTTTTCCAGACAATATTTTATTAACAAAACGGAAGTTTGTAGGGATATGTTTATCAACGTTTTACGTGTATCTACCAAACGCATAAATACGGCGCTTTGCAAAGTCAGAAAGTTAGAAATACCAGATCGGCGAGGTCTAAGTAGTGGTGGACATAACAAAATGTCAGCTGATCAAGAAAGTGCTGTAATTACACATATCAACCAATTTCCACGCTATAAATCTCACTATTGCAGATCTACAAAAAGGAAATCAAGAGTTTTTGCAAGAAGGGACAACATTGACAATAATGTATAAACTTTATAAAATTGCAAATTTAAAACCAGTAAGTTTTTCATCCTACAAAAGATATTTCTAACGAAGTTTAATTTAAGACAAAAAAGCCCAAAAAGACACATGCAATAAGTGTGACACTTTTAGTGCAAAAATAAAAGGTTTAACAAATGAAGAGGAAAAAATAAAAGTTCAAAGTGAGCACGATCTTCATTTGCAAGAAGCAGAAACAGCAAGAAAAGAAATGAATTTAGATCTTGAGATTGCAGAAAATAATGAAAATACGGAGACTGTAACATTCGACATGCAAAAGACGCTTCCTCTTCCTCGACTAAGTACAAATATTTTGTTTTACAAAAGGCAGCTATGGTTGTACAATTGCGGCATTTATGCTGGAAAGCAAAAAAATCCACGTTTAACATTTGGATCGAAGGGGAAGCTGGCAGAGAGCCCAGGAGGTAGGCTCCTGTTTAAGAAAATATATCGCCATGAATAACATATCGGAGAGTGTTGAAAATTTAATTTTTGGAGCGATTCGTGCGGGGGCAGAACCGCAACATTAAAATGGTGCTTATGATGAAATGTATTCTAGAGGAGACTTTGCATTTAAAAAGTATTAGAATAAGGTTCCTGGTCTCTGGTCACAGTTTCCTCCCAAATGATAGTGACTTTGGGGATGTTGAATGTGCAATTAAAAAACAAAATAAGATTTTTTCTCCGCAGGATTATATTAACATCATGCGAACATGTAGGAGGAAACGCCGTATCAATATAAACAGAATGGTAAAAGACGATTTTGTAAGTACGAAAAATTAGAAAAGGCCATCGTAAATAGAAAAAAAAACTTGTGAGGCAGAGAAAATAAATTGGCTACATATTAAGGAAATTAAAATTTTAAAAAGAAAAAAACAGCATTTTTATCAGGGCAGGCTACAATGATGAAAGCGAATATAAGGAAATTAATATTAAAAAAAGGAAAGGGCCCCAATGTTAACCTTTCTACACTTTTAGAACCTCTTTGGCCAAATGGAAAAGAAGTGGCTGAAGCGAAACTAAAAGACATAAAAAGTTATTTACATCTAATTCCCGAAGAGGACCACCCCTTTTATAAAAACCTTATCGGAAATCCAAATATTGTGGAGGACATAGATGGCTATAACATGGACTTAGACTTTGATCTAGAGGAATATTAATTAAAATCCAAAGATAATAATTTTGTTTCTTGTGTTTTCTTTTTTGTTTTGTTTTTTTGTTGTTTTTTTTATAAGAATGTTTATTTTTTAAATAAAATGCTAATTTGGGTCTAGCATTAAATTCTCAGAGTTTTATTTTTATTAAGCAAAAGGGAACCACGTGTTTTTCTCATACTTAGAATATATTTAAAAATATTTTTTTGTTTTAAAATCCTTGGTTTAGGCCAGTATAATTAAAGCGTGTTGCATTTGTTCAATTAAAATGTGCTTTATTTCTAATTAAATACAAGACACCGTCTGAAACGTTTTTCTTGATTTTCTCAAAACAGTAAAGAAGTCGGTTGGTTCCTTATTGCATAACGGGGTCCATTTTATCCACTTCAATAAAATTTATTGCGCGAGATGACAATTCTTTACTGTACATACTTCCTGAAGATCTAGAAACATGCAAGCAGTTACAACCTAATGTCAAGATTTGCTCTGATCTACTCCAGTTTCCAATTGACAGCGATGCTATTTGTGAAGCACAACTTCTGAGACAGACAAACAAACTACCCCGAACATGTCAGACGTCTCTACTCTTAACAACCGACTACAACGTTCGAGAAATTGAGCAAAACTATTGGTTGATATCCATCTCCGATCCCATACCAATAACAATCAAGTGTGAAAATCGTGAGATGATTACCTATATGCTAAGAACAAATTATCTCTTAAGACTACAACCGAATTGCAACGCATTTATTGGAAGCACTCGGATACATTCCAAGCATCCGATACAGAAATACAGAAATGTTACTTACAGAAGCCACCCTGTAAAAATTCCCTTCGATTGCTGCACACATCTACCAGATAAATTTCATATTCCCGAGCTGAAACCAATTAAATTGAGTCATTTAGACATGGATGATCTCAATATAGCTCAACATAGGCTCAACCAATATTCAGAAGAACTTGACAAGATGACAAAACAACCCTTTGTCTCAAGACATCTTCACTGGTTAACCATCTTTACAATCGTTTTAATAATTGTTTTAGTTCTCTTCTACATCTGTTGCAAGTGCCGACAACGTAGAAGAACACCCACGCTAAGTCTTACTGATGGCAACGATCCACCGCCTCCCGAACCACAAGTTCATAGACTTCAACAGAGGTTCAGGAAGATCCTGCCCAGAAGAAGAAGCAGCATCCACCCAGAGGAGCCAATAGAAGAAGAAGCCTTCGAATTACGGTGTCCTCCAATCATCTTTAAAAGTCGACGCACAGCATCAACTTTTTAAATAATGGGAGCTGTTATATTGGTTTTCCATCGACCTTTACACCTTTGCCGGTCAAGCACACCGATGGCCACATCCTGCCAATCGCCGCATCAGCGATATTGCGCCATCCGCAGTGGAAATCGCCGTAGCCGCGATCACACGGTGTCAGCAAATCAATTCTTTATTTAAGCCAATGTATTGTAATAGAAAAACACTTATAATTTTGCATTTAATAAAGCACGTTATAATGTCCGTTTAATTTTTGATTTTTAAATAATAATTTTAATAAAAAAATAAATAATAAAATAATTAAAATAATAAAATAATTTACAATTAAAAAATATTTTTTTAAAAAAGTGAAATCCTCCAGAAGCATCATAACATATATATATATATATATATATATATATATATATATATATATATATATATATATATATATATATATTTCATTATTTCGTATTTAAATATTAATACTTTTTTAATTAAATTTACTACATTTTATGATATATCTTGATAATTTGTTTTAACTTTAAATTTAATATTTATTAAACGAATCCAGTACATTTTAGACTTTTCAATCAGTACAGTTTTTCCATACACCTCCCTTTTGATATCTCTTGTTCTGTGCATATATTTTTTAACTATTTACTGAGCTAGCTGGAACCTAATTGTAACGGAACCTGGTGAACCTGAGTTCCCATTATAAACTTTTTCACTCAAGGTGGCGTTATAAGGTATGTTTGCTTTGCCCCGTTTCATTATACGAATATTTTTATCGCCAAGTCGCTCTTACTATCCTTTTTGTTTTAGCTGGTGTTGACGAAGGTTTTGAAGACGCGGAAGGACTTTTTGCAAGGCTCGCAAACGCAGCACGGCCGGAACAGCAAGATACCACAAGGGAGCCGTATTCTGCCCGCGATAAAATGCGTGAAGAAATTGACAACTATTGTGCACTGCCAACTGCAAATAATGAAGATGATTCATTGGCCTGATGGAAGGTACACTGTGCTATCTGGCCCATTTTGAACAAGATGGCGATAAAATTCCTCTCATTGCCGGAAGCAAGTACGCCTTCCGCGAGGTTATTAAGATATGCTGGCAGTGTTTTGATTGATACGAGGTATTGCCCTTTAGGAAAAAATTATTTTTTTTTCTAAAAATGAACACGGATTTAGTCATAATATATATTTTTTTTATTTTTTTCTTTAATTTAACATTTTTTAGTATATTTATTTTACAGTTACGGATTTTTGTTTCATTATGTTTTTATTTATTAAACGCTTTTTTACTTTATAGTTGTTTATCTGAAGCTTGCATTTTATTTTAGTGATTAGTCTACTGAAAAAATAGTAAAATTTAATTTAAAACAACGGTGGCAACGTTAAATTAAAGTTTAATCAAAGTGTAAAATTTCAAGTTTTTTAGTGTTCCTAGTTGAAGAAAATTAAAAAAAATTGTTGAGGATTGTCTACAAAAGTAAGCATTTAACCCTTAAATATAAAAGTGCATATCTATAGCCGTCAAATATCCTTAAAAGTAAAATTTTGGTATAAAAAGCCACGCCATTATAATAATACATACCTGACCCAGTTTTTGAACTACAGCGATTCGACGTTGCAAAGCGCAAAAAAAATCTATTTGACTAGCAGATATTGTTGGTTGTTCACCACATACGACACGGAGTATTGTAGCTAAACGATGAGATTTTTACAAATTGTAAGTCTTGGGTTCGATGAAGGACTATTAGAGGTACAATTTAAAAATAATTTTACAAGATACAGAGTGTTCCAAATAAGTAAAAAATATCAAAGTTGTATTTTTTTAAATGGAACACCCTGTATATTATTACATTTTTAGTTTCTACTATTAAAATAAAGGTAAATTTGATTAAGGTTTATTATACTTAAACCTTACCGTTTTTGAAATATTTTCAATTTTGTGAAATTGCAGTAAAAATTTTAAGGCTTCATTTCTCCAAGGGTATCAAAGTTTTTAATACTAAATATTTACTGAAGTTTATTTACTGATCAGTTATTGTGTTGCAATAATAAAAATAACCTATACAGAGCGTCTAAAAATTTATTTTAAATAATTATTAGCTTCAAACGGCAATAACTTGTTTAATTTAAATGGAACACCCTGTATATTTTACGAGAATCAGATGCACAATTTAATTGTCTATCAAATTATATTATACCATTTTTTACCTATCTCTTTAAGTTTCCGTAGAAAATGCATTTTCTTGTCATTTAGAACTTATTTATCAATATACCCATGGACTATTGACATTTTAGATTATTTTTAAAGAGTACAGATACTATTATTGTCGATCTAATTCGTTTCATTAAAAAATAAAAAAACTGTTTAAATATTTGTTAAAGAGGACCAATTAATATGATTCCAGTATTCAAACTACATTAACTGACTGTTTGCGTTGATTAATAATAATTGCTCCAAATACTAAAAAACTGAATTTTGTATGGGCATTAGACAGTGTGGTAAAAAGTAACACCTTAAAAATGATATTTCATTTTTTAATAAATGCTTATTTATAACAACAGAGACTTTAATTTGATAAATTATTATTATATTGATTTCTGACTCAAATCCACATTTATTTATAATAATTTATTAACGAACACAATTAAGGATGTAATTAATTAGTATATGGGCGGAAATAATGGTGTTATATTTAGTTAATGGTATACTCTTTTATAAAGATTTAAATAGTTTTCTTTTTGCATACAAATGGGCTAGTAATATTATCGTTTTGCTAAAAACGATAATATTACTAGTCTGTACATTTTGTACATTTGTTGCTTTACAAACAATCTAAAATGTCAATATTCCATGGATATATTGATAAATGAGGTCTAAATTATAAGAAAATGCATTTTCAACGAAAACTTGAAGGGATAGGTAAAAAATGGTATAATACAATTTGATAGACAATTTAATTGTGCATCTGATTCTCCTAAAATATACAGGGCATTCCATTTAAATTAAAGAAGTTATTGCCGTTTGAAGCTAATAATTATTTAAAATAAATTTTTAGGCACTCTATATAAGGTAGTATTATTTTTATTATTGCAACACAATAACTGATCAATAAATAAATATCATTAAATATTTAGTATTAAAAACATTGATACCCTTGGAGAAATGAAGCTTTAAAATTTTTACTGCAATTTCACAAAATTGAAAATATTTCAAAAACGGTAAGGTTTAAGTATAATAAATCTTAATCAAATTTACCTTTATTTTAATAGTAGAAACTAAAAATGTAATAATATACAGGGTGTTCCATTTATTAAAATACAACTTTGATATTTTTTATTTATTTGGGACACTCTGTATCTTGTAAAGATATTTTTAAATTGTAGCTCTAATAGTCCTTCAACGAACCCCAAACTTACAATTTGTAAAAATCTCATCGTTTAGCTACAATACTCCGTGTCGTATGTGGTGAACAACCCTGTATATCCTAATATTCTCTTAAATAATGGTTGATACGGTAATGTTCAAACAATTCGAAGAGATAAAATTCTTGATACAAAGCAGCAAACAAGAGCTAAGAGATGATATTAAAAAGTCGACGACTTAGAAAGCAGGGTACAAATAATAGAAAAACTAGCTAGAAAGAATAACCTAATAATCTTTGGCCTACGGAACATTCGAAATTTAAAGGACATTGAGTTAGCCGCCTGGGTAATAGAGCAATTAAATATCAGCGTCGAGATCTTAGACAAGGAAAGAGAGGAGACGCATAACACACATATTCTCCAGTGATCTGTTTTTGAGGCTGAAATTCGATCGGCGGCCATACTATGGTGACAGGATTTCAGGACAGGTGACACTGAGCGAATTTTTATGTTTTTTTTGTGACTACTCTTTTGTTTTAAATTTATAAACTGTGTTTTTTAGTAAGGCGGGATATTCAGCTTATGGCTGCAAAAGCCGAAGCACGTCAAAACGCCGAAATGCACCATTAGTTTTTTGGAAAATATTGTATATGAACGAATAATTGAAAAAAACATAGCGGTGCGATAATTTTTTGGAGGAGTGTATATAAGCATCAAAACTAAAAAATACGTCTTTTTTAGATACGATTTGGAATTAGTCGTAATCAAATGTTTTAACGAATTCAGCAGCAGCACAAAAAACTGCCGAACTCAAAGATCTTTTTTGAGTTTTGTGATACCGAGTGGTGTGAGCTGCTAAGTCTAGTTCCCGCAGCTGAAAGGTTGTTAGAAACTATGAGCCTGTAAAATCTTACTTTTTATTCACGGAGAATCCACCAGCTATTCTTAAAAGTTTTTTTTGAGGATGAGTTTGCTGAGGCTTACTTGGGTAGGTATTGATTTTTTAGTATAAGTTTTTGATCCCTTTAATTGTAAATTTTTAGGATTTTTAGTTAATGTATGATCAACACTAAATAAAGGTATTGAAAAATTACAATCAGAAAAATGTTTTTTTAATTGCATCTTCTACATAGGACAGCTTCGTAAGAAAACGATGTTTGATAAATACGCGTCGCTCGCACCACCCGAATCGCGCCCTTTTGTTTCCCACGTAGGACGAAGCGTTAGACAACACTTTTCAAGACATGTTAGAAAAGTTAAATTTAGAGACTCGCGCATCAATAAAGTGTTTCAACATGACTTTCATTATGGACCCCCCTCCCCCCCCCATAATGAAAGAAATGTAGAAATGTTAAAAAATGATTTATATCATAATTATGCAAACTCAGGGATATGAAGAGGTGGACCAATTGCATGGAACTCCTTGATCACCTGACTCATATTTATCACCTGTTTCATATTTATATATTTCGAATTAATTGGCAATAAATAAATGATTTATTGTATTTATGAAGAAAATATTTTTCATACATCCATTTTGTGCTTTAGAAGAGAGGCATCGGCGTATCCTCTTGGTTAAAATAAAAAAAATCAGACACCAAACTAGCGCTGCATCCAAAGATTTTTGAGGTGGCACATCTCAACTAACCATTTTTA